CTTTCTTGCCTAATCCTTGGTTTGCTAAGTCGAGATTTAATAGAACGGAAATAGTAACAGTTAGCCGCATTCGCTCTAACCATTATAATTTGAATTGTAGTTTGAAAAGGTGCGGTATCGTGGGGTCCCCCGCCTGTGACTGTGGAGCTCCGCAGCAAGACATAAATCACGCTCTCTGGCATTGCCCGTTGCTCGGGAGGCATCGCGGTCCGCTCCTCCGGTCCATTCAACGGAGTCTGGGATCTCCTCCACCCTATGATGTGTTTGATCTCCTGAAAGAACCTTCCTACGAAATAATTGCATCCATCGTCTCCTTCCTACGACAGAACGACATTTCGATTTGACGTACAGTGACTTGACGCCTGCGCGCAGGCGCGCTCTCCCCCCCTTGGAAAACTGAATAAGCCGACAATCTGGCAGCATGAACAGTGAACGAAGTCTGTTCCTTGCCAAAAAGTAAAGAAGAAGAAGAAGATATGTCACATTCACGGGATGTCATTTTCTGACGTTTGTATTAATAACATATAAATATATAATATTAAGAACATATATTAATGTAATATAATGAATAGTGTGCCGCATAGCTGTAAGCGAATAAACTATACTATTTCAATAAATTGTATGAATGCTAAAAGCTGCACATTCTGTTTGGTTTCTACTGCCAATTTACCATCAGATTGCACGCGCGCAGATCTTGCTTGATTTCTGCCGACAATCTAATGTCAAGTCATGTTAGCAGATCCTGCTTGATTTCTGCTACCAATCTGCCGTCTGATTGCGCGCGCGCAGATCCTGCTCGATTTCTGCTATCAATTTGACATCAAATTGCGTTATGCAGATCCTGCTCGGTTTTTGCTGTTTGGAGATGATCTCATAGAGCTCTGTTACACGGCACCCTTAATCGGGTTTAATAACATCCGTAGTTCTAAGACTGGCCAATCACAGTCATTCCATTCTTCAGAGGAATAGCTGTGATTGGCCAGTTTCAGAACTACGGATGTTATTAAACCCGATTAAGGGCCAATTTCACAAAGTCCGGTTAGATTAACCGACGGTTAAAATTAGCAGGGTGGCCAACAAAAAATAGAGGTGAAAGAAAACCAAGCATTCATATAATTTCAGTTGGAACCCTGCTAATTTTAACCGTCGGTTAATCTAACCGGACTTTGTGAAATTGGCCCTTAATCGGGTTTACTAACATTCGTAGTTGTAAAACTGGCCAATCATAGCTATTCCTCTGAAGAATGGAATGACTGTGATTGGCCAGCCTTCGAACTACGGATGTTATTAAACCCGATTAGGGGTGACGTGTAAACGTAGTCAATAATTCTATGCAAATCCTGCTCGATTTCTGCCACTGATCTGCTGTCAAATTATGTCAGCAGGTTTTGTAACATTTCTGCTGACATTCTGCTATCATTATCGGATATAACAGACTTTGTAAGAAATGTCTGTATACATTGTAACTTTCGCAAATTTTCGATATATCGGATTAAATTTTTTTACATGAATAGAGTATTATTAAAGGATGTTTGATATTGAATTTAGTGAAAATCGGTGAAAGAAATCATTTTAATTTTTATTTCTCTCACAAAGCTTCCTCTATGAGGAAGCAAAAATTGAAAAATCTGCATGCTTAAAGCAGCTTAAGCATTGTAAGATAAAATGATGAGGAAGCAATGTGCAAGTTTCTAATTTGCACAACTCTACTTTTTTTGAACATCCAAGGAGTTGTCCATTCAATAAGTAGCGACAACGAATGAAAGAGAAACGTAATTTTTCTCCTTCCAGACTAAAAAAACAGATTGCGATTGGGTGAACTACATGCAGAGAAAAAGGATATGATTTAGAGATATAATTATTTAAAATATCTCATGTAAAACAATATATATCTTTATTGATAATACATTGTATTAAAAGAGATATAATGCACTGTCAGTGTAGCAAATATTCAAATATCTGTATAGACAAATCATTCTTGATATATGTGTATATTATAATATATATTTGTATAAGTATATAATGACCCCTAATGCACATTGATAATGCATAAGCATCGTACAAAGGCCATTATAACAACAGAAAGCCTACCAACTGCTTACAGTGGAATGCTTTAGGACAGGTCTGTCAAACCGTCGAGCCTATGTGCTATCAATTAGACAGGCCTGCTTGAGGAGAAAAATCCGCACAATAAATCCTGTATATACAATTATTTATTACATACACATAGACGAAAGAATGTACATTTAAAAGGGAGCAGAGTATAAAAAACACGTGAACATTTACATTATTAACATAAACATTAATGTTTAGAACATAGTAAAGAATCAAATATAAACAGATATTTATTTTCTTTCACGATTTTTGATTAAGAAGACTTCTTTTGGAAACAGTATTATTTTGAATGCTCTCCTTTCATCTATGCGTAGCGCAATTAAGTTAAACGCTTATAAATGCTAAATGTTATAAATAAATCTTTGAGCTTTCGTGAATGAAAAATAATTTTCCAGCTACTGTCCGAATTTTGCCATTACGAGTATATGTTTCGTTTCCTGCAACATCTCTCTTCCTTTTTATAATTTATTAGAACAATCCGCCAATCTTTCTTTTGCATAGCGACAAATTGTAAACAGTATGTTGCATTAAGATTAACAGTAGCACCTTTCTTCCTCCTCACCCTTAAGCCATTCTGATACTTTGGATGATTTGAAATACCGCTGTAACAAAGAACATGTACATCACTATCTTAACTAAAGTGTGTTTTATGGGAATCCAAAAATCCAAATATATAAACCATCGGATATAAAAAAAATAAAAAAAAGATTTAAAAAATCACAAGCTTACAAGACAGACAAATTTATGTATGTATAAAGTTAAAAGTTTATTGCAAACTTTACATATTCAGATTGTCACATATATGTACTTACCAGATCCACAAACGACAAAGAGGAATAAAGCTAGGAGCCAAGGGCCAACTGGAGAGCTCTCCTCTTGCGATTTCTAACATGACAAAAATTGTTGTTTAATATAGCTATAGACATAAATCAAACGCAGGTGTGGATATGGAAATAAATAAATGCCGGGGTATTTTAAAATGTCACTTAACAGATGGAACATATATATGAAAAAGAATAACAAATATCTTTCATTAATTGTTTAATAAACGTTTCAATGCAGAGAGATTGTCGATATTAATTCAACAATTATTAAAAATATATATTAAATAGTGTATTTCAGAAATACTTTAATAAACTTTGGGGGTGAGTTCTCCACACAAAAACAAGAAAAAAATGTCATATAAACATATGCCCAGAAATGTCTGGTTTGAGTTATAATCGAAAGATTACATTCAATTCAGTATCATGGCCTGACCTAAATCCATTATATTTTTATCTGTGGAGACACTTAAAAGCTCTAGTTTATACAATTGAAATTGCAAATGAAGAGACGCTTCACCGATGCATCATCGATGCCTGGGAAACCATTCGCAACCATCATAGGATCTTTGAAAGAGTGCGACAGTCCATGATCCAATGCAATGTGTCCATGTGTGCATTGAAACAGGTGGGGAGACATTTTGAGCATTTGTTATGAATTGTAAGATAAATTGAACTAAAGATGAATTACATTGGTCATATTTCATAAACTCATAATTCAAACCAGAAATTTCCCGATATATGTTTATGACATTTTTTTCTTGTTTTTATATGGAGAACTCACCTCCAAAGTTTGTTGAAGTTTTTCTGAAACACACTGTATATTATATATTATATTATTATAATATATATTTAAAAAAAAATGTATGTATATATATATTGATGCATTTATATCGTTAAATTCTAAATAATAACCAAAAATAAAAAATATTAGCGGAAGCGTTGAAGAAACAAAAGCGTGAAACCATCTGATTGAGGTCACAATCCCTCACGAACGAACATTTATCTATAACCTCAATATGTATCTTGAATTGACAATTATGTACTTTCGCGAACAGACGATCAAAAGTCAGATTCGAATCGCAAGCATATGTACACTATCCTCTCATTTTATCTACTTCATCCGCTGTCCATATGTGCCATATCTTCTTCTTCGGAGGGGAGCACGTCTTTCAAGCTTGACAGATCTTTACATGTATAACGTTTTCTTTTTTTTTTTCTCTTTCTCGTCGGAGAAGGCTTCTTTATCTTATAACCTGCATTCGAAATTCAAAAACGATCGACTTACCGACGACTTGGGAACGTTTCCCCGTAACGTGATATTCTTCGTCGCCTTCTCGTTGGCGATGCGCATCCTCTGCTTCGGCGCCATCGTCGGATTCCCCCGATAATAAAATGCGTGTTTCACGTAATGACGAAGCGCTCAGCTCGACGAGCCACCACTGCGGATGGTACGCACCGTATGCGTGTCCGTCCGGCGTTCACGCGACGTGTAACGTACACTTCGTCGCGCGACGAGTGCGCGTTAGCGACAGCGTCAGCTCAGCTGGCGTGATGTGACACGTGAAGTAAGCTGTGCGACAGCTCGACGGTCCCTCGTGCCACACTGTCACCACGCGGATCAATTGAGCGTATTCCATACACGCTCGTCCCTCGCATAATCGTCCTTCAATAATCCAGTGACTACCAATATTTTTTATTTTTGATCACGCAGGAAAATAAAGAGAAAAAAATATCAAACATTCGGACGAGGGAAAAAAAAGATTCGCCATCCGCCATACGCGGCGGGAATCTTGATTTTTTGAATATCACACCGTTATTAAAAACTCGCTACTCTTCTTTGAGAGATTAATTGAAATAATTAATAATTTTGATAATATTGTACAGCATGTTAAGAGAAAGAAAATTTAATTTTAGTTAAAGAAATACTTTAACAAACTTTGGGGGTGAGTTCTCCATACAAAAACAAGAAAAAAATGTCATATAAACATATGTCCGAAAATGACTAGTTTATGAGTTAGACACCCTGTAATAATTAGCAAAGTAAAAATGATAAACGGCGATTGAGTTGTGTATACGTAGAAATTTTATATTTTTTTTTAGAATCGCTACATCTAACAACAAATCGTTTATTTTCGAAGACTTTCACCGACATTAGTCCTTCGGTAAAATTACTGAAATATAATACAATACTCGTCGTTATATTTTTCGCGAATAATATCCACAAGTACCTATCTCTAACTGTATTATGGAATTTTTATTTTTCACTTTTCAACGGCGATCAACGCGGTATAGGTGCGGAAGAGAATCGGGAGCGAGGATTCGTTCAAAATAACAATGGAAATATTCGAACGAAGGGAGAGGATAATACAAAGAGTCACGATACTGCACATAAGAAAATCTTACTACAATATCAGTACTATGCACTCACAATTTCTCCTCCTCATTTCAACTACCACTCTAGAACCTAACGATAAGTTAAGTTTCCTACTGATAATGAAATCGGCAAATTGATTTGACAGTCGTAGAATTGAAAAATAGTCTAGTCACAGTTATGTCTCCCTCATACAATTTCAATGCAAAAGCCTTATAAAACTATCGTGTTAATAAATTATAATATACTTTTGTTTGTTCATGTCTAATCCATCCCTGTTTATTAGGGCTCTTTCAATATTATAAGATTCTACTTTGCATTTTTTTAATCAAGAGCTAGAAAACATTATCTCACTTTATAAACTATTACGCTTTATTTTGCCCGAATTAAAAGCTCTCCTTTGCCAATCCTCGCGTGGTTAGCTCGATCAATTTTCTATGCTGTTCACAAGTGAGATAGCGACAAATATTGCGGCATATAAATATATACCAAAAAGTACACATGTTCATATACATAGGAATGCAATCGTGCAATTATATGTATATGTGTATGTGTGTCTGTATGTATGTTTGTGTGTGTGATATGTGTACACATATACATATATAATTATTAAATTAAATATTAAACGTTATAATTCTGTCGATATACCAATTCAATAAAAAAATATGCAATAATAACGTTAAATTTGCACGATTGCCGAATTTTCATTCATATGATTACTCAGACTCACATATGGGGGATTCGGCTAACACTTACAATTATTTTATTATTGACATATGACTGCATTTGCGACATGTGCGCGCGTACTAGTACAGCAGAATCCGTTTACAGCGCATCTTTACTTGTATCAAATTTAGCAATTCAAAGAAAAGAAATTAATAAATGAGACGCGAGGACATCGTTTGAATATCTAGATAGTAAATATATGACACGAGTTCTGTTGAAAGAATAATAATAAGGACACGCATCGTTCGGTGATGCCGCTTCTAGGTGATGCGCTTGCGTTAATCGAGCCAATGATAAATTATGATAAGTTTGAAAAAGAAAAGACTCGCATTCCCAAGTGACATGATGGGCTGCTTCAGGACAGATGAAGTGTGTGTACTTCATTTCGTCGAGAACATCGTGAGCATCACACACTGCACGGGAATTACATCGTTCGAATCACGATGTCAATGATAGTATATATTATATTCAGCGATGTATTTTTTAGTCTATCTTGACCGTGGAATATATCTTCCGCACGAACGCGTTGGTGCCAATATATCCGACTGTTCCGCACATTATACCCAGGGCCAAGCTGAACAACGCCATGTAACCAAAATAAAACGCCGTTTGGAAGAGACCGTACATTCTGCGAAAATAAAATCGTCAAATAATTGCAGAAACTTTCATTGATCGGCATGAGAAATTGGTACTTCTATTTATATTGGTATTTCTACTCACTTAGTTTTGAAGAAAAAGTAGTAAAAGGAATAAATGTAGACGTAACCAGCCGTCGAAGCTGCCGCAAGAAAACTCGTCCACTGCCTACAAAAGATATCTACATTGTACACAAGCAGGAAAAAAGAAAAGAATACAGAAACAAGATAGACTTACCATCGATAGTCTTCGGCATTTAGTAAGAAATATGTACATACGATAGTGACGCATACAGTCACTATCATAAGAATAACGAATACTAATAACATAAAACCATAAACGTAGTAGATCTTGTATGCCCAGAATGAGGTAAAAATGAAATACCTAAAAGAATCGTAGCTTGAGATCAGTGTGTGCGCGAGAGAGTGATCGGATGAATAATTTAAGGAGGTATATATCAATTGGACACAATGCATATTAGCCAGTTGAAAATGAGGACCTTTGATTGATCAATCGTGCTGGTTACCGGTCTAGCCATCGGTCGATATGAGTGATTGTGTACAATCGCACTGTGTCCAAATGAACCTTTCCCAATTTAAGATGCCAATATATAAATAGCATACATTTCAATAAAGATCGAGCCAAAGGGTAAGATTCCGCCGAGCATTATAATCACTAGCGGTTCCATAAACCACTTCTTCTCAGGTATCGGTCGAGGCACCGCATTCACGCGACACGGAGCGTCCGGCGTCCCGGCGAGATTTCGGCCTAGAATCGTACCTACCATTGTCAGCGGTAATATCACAAATATGCAGATACACGTCACTGCGACCTGCACACATACGATGAGCGGTGATCGTATATATCAGTGTAATGATTTCTATGTAAATTTATCGAGCTTAATGATGAGCAGTTACAAACCATGGATCCGAAAGGTATCGCTCTGCTGGCGTGGTAATACATGGCGATAAAGTTAATAAAAAAAGCGGTGCCACAGACCATGAGCGGCAACATGAAAGCGCTGAGGATCATCTGTTTAATCCATACGCGTCCGCCCATTCGCGCATACAGTCCGCTGCCCGCGTAACCGTTGATGGGCGACGTAGCGGCGTATACGAATATCGCCGTTGACAGCATCGATCCGCGTTCCGTATATAGTTCGCCCAAGATAGCAAAGATAATTACGCTCAGTACAACCACTGTGACCTGTGATAAAAAATTGGAAAAGGAGCGACTTACAATTTTAGTCTTCTACTTTAAAGAATCAATAAAAGTGAGTACTCAGCGAATACACACCTGATAGCCCGCACCTATAAGAGCTGAGAAGAGCATAGCATGACTCGCAGGCCTAAAAACGTCTCCGTGAACCTGCTTCCAGCCATATTCGTCGCCCAAGTCCCTCTCCATATCATCCATCTCTTCGTCCCTGCTGTATCGGGCGTAATCCTTTCTCAAGGTGCGCATCAGAATCATTGACACAAGCCCGACAAGGAAGATCACCATCATGAAACTATTGAAGATACTAAACCAATGTATCTGAAAAAATCATTCGTAATTTTTATATGGACTATATTATGTATACATTACTTAAGGTAACAAAAATGCTACATATAATAAGAAACTTACTCTATGCTGGAAGAAGTTAGGATCCAGATACTTGTCAAATCTATCCTCAAATTTGACATTACTCTTCTTCCAATTGACTTCGTAGCTGAAAGGTATATGTGCACCCTGTACCAGCTTCACCTTGTTTTCACTGGTCAGATTAACATCCACTATCTGCTTACCATTGTACCCAATGTCAAATTTTTTATGCGTCCAGATGTAATAAGAATCCGATACCGCAACCCCGTCGTTGTTTTCCAATTCTCCTACAACACCTATAATACAAGTTTCAGAAATATCTGATTCTAGAAAACCTCAATATACATGCATAAAAAACAAAAAGAAATCTTTCAATTACCCCATATTGGTAAATCATCGATATACATTTGATACCAATATTGATTCTTTATTGCGTATACAAATGCCTTCTGGCTTTCTTCATTCAGACTTATCTGGCAGTATTCTGTTTTTGAGATATCCTCTGAAACAAAAAAAGATTAAGGATTCTGTACCTTAGGTAGTACTCTAATCTAGTACTGTTATCTGAACAGTATTTATATGTTTCATATAAATGTATCACCACCTTTGAATTCGATATCTAAACCACTAAACTTCAATTCGATGCCCTGTAGTGCCTCCGATAGGGTCTCATGATAGTGATTGATGACATGCTTGGTGCCTGTACAAAAGGGTAAGGAGTAATAGGAGTACGTCTCCTGACGATTATGATACGGCCCTACAGTGCTCATCCATAAGACAACCTCGTCGCCATCCTCGTACTAGAAACAAACAAAATATAGGCCATTGATCATAATAATCTTCCAATCCATATCATAGAAATTTATCCGTGGCATTCCATAAAAGAAAAAGAATAAGAAACACATGTCTAGTTGTTATGTCAAAACGAAATTTTAACTAATGGTAATTAAACGGAATTGCTAATATCGAGTAACAATACTGTATATATGATAGCGTAAATTCATTCAACGTGATAACAGAATGTAAATAGAGAGAAAGAAATACAGTCCAAGAAAGAAACATTTGGCAACGTTGTCACTTTAAACGCCAACACCGTAGATTCGAATGACAATCTGGACATTCGAAGGATGATCAGACAGGCAACGGGTACTCACGATGTGATTATGCTCATCGGCGCAGGCCAGCGAGGAGAGCAGGCTAAATGCCAGAATGTGGAGTAACAGTCGTCCCCGATGCATGTTTATTTATTTCTGAAAGGGAAAAAGGCGCGCGCCGACCGGCCGGGCGCCCTTTTACGCGAACGCACGAACGAAAGATCCCACCAGCGTGACACGACGACGACGACGGACAATCCCCATAGATTTCGTAATATTGCCTACCGAGCGCGTTACACGGGGCTAGCAGAAACACGGACACGGGACGGACGGACACGTATCATGCAGGGATCTCACCTGAAAAGTACGATATATATCGCTATATATCACCGCGGCCTTTGATACGCCGCGTTGTCTGTCGCAACTTTTGTTCGTCGCGGCGTCAGATGACGCGCTCGTCAGATTTCTCTAGAATCCCTAGAAATCCTTTCCTTCTAGGGACTCTAGGATTCCTCTTGTGGCGACTCTATGGCAATCTAGGAAATTTACTAATATTAAGGATCGACAGGAGAGACAGTAGAGACCTCTCGCGGGAAGCCGTGAAAATAATATTTCATAAATTGATAAATAAGGTACAGCTCTGGTACAGCTCATGGCGGATTAGGTGCAGTTGGCCATGAGCTGTATTTTATTAATTATAAATTTTTTGAGAGCCAAAATGCAAAATCCGGCTCTGTAGCGCCAATCTAAGCTTTGCAAAGAATATAGCAAAAAAAGTTAGAGGAAGAAATATGACTTCTTCGAGGCTACATACGAAAAAAACGGATATCACTAGAGCGATATGCAAGGAGCAGCTAATGGGGACATTTTTCTAGTAGTACACTGATCGTTTGACAAAGAGAGATGATTGCGCCGTCTTTGTCTCTCTTTCATC